TGTAAACGAAACAAGGCAATTGTATCAGCAAAACTGCCTGTGGGCAGAACTTTAGTTTGCTTTGTGTTAGTAAGGACTGAAGAAACACTGGGAAGCTAAAAATCAGTGTCTTCTCCATTCCTGCCTGCCCCCCCACCCCGTTGTGTGTTTGTGTGTGAGTGTGTGTGAGAGAGGGTTATGGGGGGGGGTAGATAGAAAAGCCATGAAGCCAGGCAGCATTTGCAAGGGAAAAAGGGAGAATTGGCAGGTTGGGGAGGGAGAAAGGGCAATACTATCATACCAGAGAAAGTTCAGTGCTAAAGGAGACTGGAAGTAATAGATCGCCCTGCCTAAGCTATGAAAAACTCACATAACTCGAAAGTACGGACCACCTTAAATTGTATGACGACAGGTTGCCATGGAAATGGTTTTACGCTGTGTGTGTGTGGGGGGGGAGCCAGGGAGGAAGGGAAGTCTGTGGAGTGGGTGTGTGGGACTAGAGGGGCATGTTGGGCAAGCCAGTTCAGCACCTAGTAGCTCTTGGACAGCAGCAGTTAGCAGCCCTGCCAGCTGTTTGCAGGAGCTTGCTTTCTATGCTCTTTTCCTGAAACTCAGACTTTCTTTTTTTCCTTCTTCCCTTATTCCTCGGTGTCTTTTGCATCATTTTTTTATTTCTTTTAGTTTTTCTCTTTACACCCCCCCCCCCGCCCTGTTTTCTTTTCCGGGCTTCCCAGCAGGCTTCTTCAGAAACCTGACTCTAGCACCCCTCCCTCCCTCCTGGCTGCTCCTTGACTGCTCACTGTGAAGGGGTCAGCAGGTGGTGAAGTGAGTTTGAAGGGCTGAGAGGGTATGGAGAGGGGCTGGGGAGAGTCATGAACAGAGTGTTTTGTTACTCATTTAAGAGGTTTTTTTTTGTTTTGTTTTCTTGGACTACTGTGGTGAGTTCCTACTTTCCTACTTCTTTCGATAGTATTTGTGCGTCATGTGGAGCATGTATGTGGTGTTAACTATACTTCTGGAGTCCTCTTCTGTCTTCATATAGTCTTTAATCCCTGAGTACTGACAGGCATATACAGAAGAGGAATTAGAGATCTTAAATGATTTGGTAGCTGCTTCTTGGTCTTCTGGATTTATTATGAGTGCCGTATTAGTTAAACAGCAATCAGCACAGAGAGCATGATATTTTGTCTCATTATGTAGCTTTGACTTCCATCCAGGAAGCTCTTTGCACTTTAGAGACTTCTCACTAGTGCTATAGTCACGAGTTCCATTCATAGCAAACAGGAGTTTTATCTGATCAGTTCATCTCTGCAAATTTTACAGCAATTTCCAGAGGCAACAACTCTAATGGGTAATATCAGAAGCAAAAGTATCCCAAAGTAGCTATTGAATTTTTATAGTGACCACCCTCTACCAGGTAATAAAAGAAGAGGAAGAGGGAAAAAGATGCTATCTTGTCACCTCCTTATAGTTTTCACTGTAAAGGATTCTGTGCTAAACCTGAAAGAAAGCATAGGTGATTTACTCAGTAGAGTGCACACTTTCAACATTTTAAAGCAACAGATAGCAACTAAAGCACAATTTAAAAAAAAAAAAAGAAGCAGAAGAAACGCATGCATATGTATTAGGCAAGAAAAGGAGTTATAAGGTTTTTGTTTCCTAGAATTAATGGCATAGGTTTAACCTGATGTAAAGGCCTTCCTTTATGAGCACCATGCCTTTAAATCCAAAGGTGTTCCTTTCTTAGGTGAATAGGTGCCTGGCATGTTTCTTAATTCTTATTATACACATTTTGCCTAAGCCTTTCCATTCAAAGGCCTTCTTGCAGCATGATTCCACCTACATAAAGAAATTTTGAGAAGTTTCTTCTCTGTACATTAGTGAGAGGACATTGTTTATTTGTGTAAGTATACCCAGTGATAATACTTTGATTCTTTTAGCAAGAAGTGAACTTAAGCATAATATTTGAAAAGACGTGTTCACAAATGAAGTACAGACAAATACATAAATAATATTAGAATGGAAAATACATTACTGTGTTATTATATGTCTAAATAGAATTAAAACCTTTAAGAATTCCATCATTTTTTTGGCAGAAAAGAAATTGATATTATTCCTTGCCCAGCATGACTCTAACTCTTATTATAAGCCTCTTTAATCTTTGAGAACTATGTCGTTTTTACTAGTTTAAAATGTGCATAAATACCTTCATTCACAATGTAATTAAAGATCTTGCTTAAAAACTAAGCAGTTTAAACTTAACACCGTTCATACAAGCTTCACAGTGATCCTAGTATACATTTGTTAGTAGCTAAAAATTTTGAAAAAGACTATCCATTTCATTAAGAGAATTCAGGACAAATATATTATTGCAACTGTTTTGGGATATGGACCATAATGAAAATAAAATAAGTTTGTGGATTGGCCATATTGAAACTATTTTAGTATTAGTAGTGATGTGTTTCATTTTTCAAAATCAAATTTGTAAATGACTAATGCAATAAAAATGAGCACTGTTGAGAACATCTGTTTGAACCTCTAATCAGACTTGTAACATTAACAGGACATTATGGCATGAGAGACACAGGACTTTTGATGTACCTATCCTTAGGTTTAGGAGATTTATATATTAGATTAATATATACTAATATATTATAGACTTACATATTCAAGATTTAGAAGAAATCTTGATTATATAAAAATTTAATGTAAAAAATATTAAAAGCTTAAAATAAGCCTTGAAATGTCTTTCTTTACCTTACTGTGAGTTCCTCACTCTTAAATATATTTGACTTTTAAAATATTGCACATCTAGGGCTGGAGAGATGGCTCAGCCATTAAAGGCTAGGCTCACAACCAAAAATATTGCACATCTGCATTACACTTCCAGATTTAACAATGCTCAGAAAATATTTGAATATGTTACTTAATGGCCCTTTAAAAAGGCTTGTAGTTTTTAATTAAAAATCTTTATCATTTGCTATATTTAACCAGAAAAAAAGGATTTAGGGTTACTTTTTTATTAGTTTTTAATTCAATAAGCTAATAGAAAAAATACCAGAATGAAGGAATGAATTCATTTTTTATTATTTGTGAACAGATAATAAAATATCCATCTGTGTAAAAAATGGTAAACACTTTGTGATTATGACTTTTATAGACATCTGTATAGACTGTCAACAGGGTATTATTTGATAACAGAGATCCTTAAAATATAATGCATCTATAGTTAAACTACATACACAAAATCATTTCTGTTTCATTTGTAAGCAAAACCTGCTTTGAAATTAGTAAAGCAAAGAGATAATGAATTTAATTTAAAGTAAAAAATAGTTCTTTCGTTATCTTAATTCTGTGTGTGTATGTGCGTGTGTTTTTTGGACTCTATCATAACTTATTATAACAGCCACAATAACCACAGAAAATCAGTCTTTTTTGTGCTTTCCCAACTAAGATTCCTTATTTAAATTTTATTTATTTTTATGTGTATGAGTGTTCTGCTTGCCTGTGTTTTTGTGCATCACATTCATGCCTGGTGCCCACAGAATCTAGAAGTGTGTCAGATCTCCTGGGACTGAAATTACAGATAGTTATGAGGCACCATATGGATGCTGGGAATGGAACTGGTCCTCTGGAAGAGCACCCACTGCTCTTAACTGATAAACCATTGCTCCACACCGGATCTTATTTTAAGGAGGGATCTAATTATAATCTGAAGTAGCCTTTGAAAAGACTTACATTATGATTTGTTGGAATTGTAAGCATTACTTTGATATTATATAGGTCATATAGTAGTTATCCAGAAAATAAAATATGGATAATTACATTGGATTTAGTTCAGCTGGGCTACTAGAGAAACCTTTGGTGTGTTGAAAGTCACTTCAAATAACAACGACTTTTACAAGGCAAATTAGGTTTATGTTTATTTTTGTTGATTTCCTGCACATTAGTATTATAGAGACTACTTCTTTAATTTATTTGCCTCTATAATCAAACAACTAAAGAAGTACCATAGTTCTCTGCTATGACAGGGATCACTTTTACCATATTTAAAACAACTCAATTGTTTTGATATGTATTACTTATACTAATTTCAATATCCTTGTTTGCAGTGTTAAAGATAAAGACAAAGTCAAGTCTGATGGTTAAGATAATTGGATGAGCTCTTCTTTTTCTTATATAGTTGTTACACTGTTTTCTCATAATTGTTGACATCCATGGCAATTATTATATCAAAAGAATATGTTTTGAGAAATCATGTATTTGGCATTGCAAATAATTTTGGAGGGGAAAATGACAAAACAGTACACATCTCATATTTTCATCATTGATTCAGACAAAAGTAGAACCCTAACCAGATAGCATGTCTTTCTGAATTTTGTTTAGCTTAGTAACTTCAGGTATCACACAATTATTAAGTATTCTTTTAAACTTGTAGTCAAATATAAATTGGAGTTTTCTGTTTTATTTTTTCCAATGCTGGGGGTTGCACCTAGCACCTTGCATATGTCAAGCAAGCATTCTACCTTCGGGGTATATACTTAGTCCCTTGAGGTTTGCTGTGTTTAAGTTTTATGTCAGCCTTTACTTTGAGCAGAGCAGAAGCATTGAAATGGATTTTCATGAGATAATTATCATTTTCATGATGTTCGTGATGCTCTTTACTATTAATGTTAGCCAGGGCATTCTATTTACTGCTTTACTCAGTACACCATGACAATACCTAATCATTCAGTGTTTTCATTATGATATAAATATGAATTTCTTCTTGAAGTTAGTACTTTCAGTTTTTATTTCATTTTTTAAAGAGATAATATTAAATTGTTGGTAAACTATACTTTAATTAAATACACCAGTTTCATTTCTCATAGGCCTTAATCTTCTCTATAAAAACAGATGTAGTATATCAAATAAAATGTGCAATATCTCTTTCTAGTAATTAAATAATACTTCATACTTCTTTGAATCTATGAAATATTGTGCATAGTGTAACTAATGTCCATTTTCTTATTTAACTCCAGGTGGATACCAATCTTGAAGGTTTCCAAAATAGGAGACATCTACTTCTACATATAAGCATTTTCTATAACTAAGGTAACTAGCAACATTTGTCTTAGAATCATTGCACAAGTTTTAGACTTTGTTAGACTTTACATCTAGTTGAAAAAATATTATTAGACTATTAGGATGCTTATAAAACCCTAATTTTAAAATTTGCTTGAATTGGAATTCTCTTTTATTCACTGCAATTTTTAAAATTTATTTTGTTGTGATAAGAGGTCAGTAAGAAGTGTCTTTTTCACTTTCTCTTTCTAATCTTTTGAGAAAAGGTCTTCTCACTGAATCTAGAACTTGCCATTTCAGCTTTACTGGCTGGTTAGTGAGGCTTTGAGAATTCATATGTTACCATTTTCCCAGCTCTGTGCTTATAAACATGCACTGCCATGCCTGCTTCTTATAGTGGTGCTGTACATTAAACCCCAGATTCTCATGTTTACACAGTACTTTTCCCAGTGAGCCATAGCCCAGCCTTCAGGGTAGGTTTTGGTTTTGGTTTTTTAACAAAATGGAATTAGGCAAGTCATGACATAAGGTATTCTGTTGATAGTAATGGTCCTTGATCATTTCTTCTAAGTTTCCTTTAGTAATAGGATTCTTGAATTACAGCTGCATCAGCACCATCTGGGAAGTTGTTTAAATGCATGTATTCAGATTCCCATTTTAAATGCTTAATTAGAAACTCTGGAAATGGGACTGGGAAGTATTTCACAAAACCTGTATGTGACGATGCATCATGAAAGATAAGAACTTCTATTTCAGAGCAAGTGTTTCAGCATCATTTATTTAGTGTATATGTCTATACATGTATACATAGAGCTTGTAAGATTATGATTAGAATATCAGTTCGTGTGTAATATGAAAATGCTCTTGTTTTTTCTTCTTTTTCAGATTGGTTGCCTCATGACTTTACTCTGTAGGATGAAACTTCATATCTTCTCTGAAATATCTACTCAGTCGTCACATTGACCCTATAGAGTTCTTGAAAGCTATCTTTACAACGTAAATTGTAAGTCATTCTTCTGTCTCCTTGAAGATAACTTCTCATTTTAATAGAGCTGGAAAATTATTAGTGAGTTTTCGCTTTTATTTTTGTGGTCAGAAGCATAATAAATGTGTGATAAGGAAAACACATTGTAATTTATTATACAAATGACCGTTTCTGACCCTTTGTGAGATAACGACAATTCACTTGCCTTATTTGTATTTCAGATTAATTCAACCAATTAAATAATGGAAACAACTTAGTTTCAATTTCAGTGTCTACTAGAGTCATATATATTATTATATCTTATTTATTATAGACACACCAATATTAATTAAGATAGATAGGAAATGTGTTAGCGTAAAAAATAAATAAATTGGAAGAAGTTAGAAACTCAAGATCTTCAGGAATGAACTAATAGGAACCTCATATTTTAAGAATTCAGTGTGTGACTATAAGTGTGTATATATAGTGTATGTGTGTATATATGTGTGTGTATGTGTATATATGTATATTACGCATATGATATGTTATGGTAATTATGATGTTTTAAAATTTTGTGACTCATTTCTTGAGCATATAATTTAACTACAGATGGCGAGAAAATGGTAATTTAAAAAATTCTTCAGTTAGAATGTGGTTGACAGTTGTATGGCTGGGGCAAAAAGTGGCACCAGGATTTAACCCTACTGCTTGTACTGGCTTTATTGGAACCTATTTTCTTTGGATGGTTACCTTGCTCAGCCTAGATATAGTAGGGAGTACTTTGAACCTTCCACAAAGCAATGTGCCTTATCCTTTCTGAAGAGTGGGTGGCAGTGGGTGGGGAGTTAGGTGAAGGGCATGGGAGGAGGGGAGAGAGTGGGAACTGGGATTAGTATGTAAAATGAAAAAAAGATAGTTTGTTTTCTTTTTTAATAAAATAAAATAAAAATTTTAATTCAATAATAATAAGCTAATTTAATAAAAAGAGTTTATGTAAAATAGAAGTTTATTTAGTTGTAGCAAGAGAATACTAAAAAATATGAACCAGTTATTTAAAAATATCATTTAGATAGTTGAAACATATACTGATCAATGACAGCATTCCTCACATCCTAACAAATTGACTTCATGTGTTTATATTTAACAAATGCTAATAATAAATTATTATGCACACACACACACACACATATATATGTATAAACACATACATTCTTACATCTTCAGGCTAGTTTATGTACTAGAAGACAGAATCATTAGCATAGGTGTCAAGTGAAAAATAGAATGCTGTACACTAATGAGCAGTTTCTCAATACCACATTTCTAGCATAAAGTGAAAAGAAATGTTAATCTTTGTTTTCTTTGGAAGATTTTAGCATGCTTTTGCCTGGGAAACAAAGTGCTTTTCCTTTCCTTTCTCCTATAGTATCTATGTCTAGATCTAGGATATTAAGTATCTCATCCTAATAATTTGTTTTATGTGAAAGACACCTTTTTGATCAGTTGCTCATTTATTCTGGCAGTTAGTTCATTTAATCTTGATTTGGTTGACTATTTCCATATAAAGTTCCCATGGACTTCTATACAGAAAATATCTCTTAATAATGAAGAAAATATGTATATCAATAACAATCTCTTCTCACAGATTGTAAGACTAGTATTAAGCCATTGATTTTTTTTATTTTTTTACTAATATTCAGAAATGAAATTAATAAAATAAAAATTTCCATTTTCAAAAGTAATTTGAATATTAAGGAAGAATTTTAAAATTTAAAATCAGACACCCTAGATGTTTTTAAGACTCAGGAATATTATGCTTCTCTAAAGTCAATACGGACTTTGTGAATGATTTTATAATTATAGAATTAAAGTTACTTTATTGTATATTAGTTGCACTTTGTTCATGCTATCTCATCTCAACTTAAGTTATTGGCAGTTTGCCTCACTGTTGTATTATGATTATCCTATAAGTATTTATATGACCACACACCATCATTATCGTGTTTATATGAGGAAAAATTAGAAAAGAAGACAATTTTTATCTAATGAATTACATAATTGCAGTTAATCTCTGAGAAATCTGTTTGAACTTACTAATGAACAAAAGATTTGATATCTATGTGACTCTTATTTTTCCATATTTAAGAATGATTATAACCATTAATAACATCCTAGTATTCACTTTGTTTCTTATAGAGGGTAAATCTGTTTTGAATTTTTTCATATGCTTTAGGTGTAATCTTAGTTTTAAAATGCTGACATTTCCTAATATTCTTCTTGCCCCGTAGTTAATCTATTGACTTCATAATGTCAGAGATCAGATTCAGCAATCTCACTTGGGATCACATCATAACACTGGATCGCGTGTTAGATGAAGTAATCCCAATCCATGGAAGGGGCAATTTCCCCACGCTGGAGGTAAAACCGAAAGATATTGTTCACGTTGTGAAAGATGAACTAATAAAGCAGGGTATTATTGTTAAAGATACCAGATTGAATGGCTCTACAGCAAGTTACATACTTGCAAGTCATAATGGAATCAGCTATAAAGATCTGGACATTATTTTTGGTGTTGATCTGCCAAGTGATCAAGAATTTCATGTTGTTAAAGATGCAGTTTTAGGCTGTCTACTTGACTTTTTACCAAAAGGTGTTAAAAAAGAAAAGATTACCATAAAGACAATGAAAGAGGCATATGTGCAGAAAATGGTCAAAATCTGCGATAACAGTGATCGTTGGAGTCTCATCTCTCTTTTAAATAACACTGGGAAGAATGTAGAACTAAAATTTGTGAATTCACTCAGACGACAATTTGAATTTAGTGTAGATTCTTTTCAAATTCTTTTGGATTCCATGTTAGATTTCTATAGTGTCCCAAATGCTAAGCTAACCAAAGAATCCTGTCCTGTTGTGGTGGCTGAAAGTATGTATGGAGACTTCCAGGAAGCTATGATACACTTGAAATACAAGCTTATATCTACCAGAAAACCTGAAGAGATCAGAGGTGGTGGTCTTTTGAAATACAGCAATTTGTTAGTCCATGACTTCAAACCAGCTTGTCAAACAGAAATTAAGACTCTGGAACGTTATATGTGTTCTAGATTTTTCATTGATTTTCCTGATGTAGCAGAACAGCAAAAGAAAATTGAATCATACCTCCGCAACCATTTCATAGGTGAAGATAAAAACAAGTATGAGTACCTTATGACCTTGCATAGTGTTGTGAACCAAAGCACTGTCTGCCTCATGGGTTATGAAAGAAGGCAGACTCTTAATATGATCACCCTTTTGGCTTTGAAAGTACTTGGAGAACAGAATATACTACCCAGTACAGACAATGTAACTTGCTTTTACCAACCTGCTCCATACCTAGTTTTTGAGGGAGGGTACCCTAGTTATTATATAGCATCTGGGCTGCCACTTGTTTACTTCCCGCCATGTCCCAGAGTGCAGTTTCCAGTACAAAATGATATGATGTAAGAAGTACGCATACCAGAAGCATTACTTAAGTACATCTGAAAAGCAATTTTCCAAATTCTGTAAAAGTTAAGATCTATTTTTGTGTAGTTGCCAACTATTTTTCACCAAATGCATCTTAAATTATGATAGTAGATTAGGTATTATCTCTAAACTTATTTTTAAGTGATCTTCAAATATTGGGACTGCAAAAACTTTCAAATGTTTTGGATTAAATACTTTCAATGATCTTTCTAATCTTACTGACACTTAAGACAAAATTCGCTGCAACCAGTATGTTAAAAATGCCTGCATCTTTGGCTAAAGATAAAAGAACACATGTTTTAAAATGGAGATGTGTAGTGAAGACATGTTGCAACATCTTTATGTTCAGTTAGTTCCTTGTTACACTGTTTGCTTCATCAGCAAATAATTACATGAATTTTTAGTGCTTAAATTGAAAATAAGTGATTGCAATGATAACAAATTTAAATGACGTTAAAACAATAGATTATAAACCTGCGTTTCCCAATAGAATATGTTGGGTTGAAAATACGGCTAAAGTTTGAAGGACCACTGGAAAAAATGCGCTGGAAAACAGTAATTATGCATCATATAGTAAGAATTTAGCTGATCTGTGGATTGAAAACAAACCTTTAATCTGAACAGTCAGCAAGAGAACTTATTATGCAGAGTTTCTGGCACTTAAATAAGTTGAAAAGAAAAAATAACCAACTCTGAATGTGAAACTATTTTATCATCATCTCCTAAGAAGAAACTAAAGGGGACAAAAAAGAGAAATCCCGCCACCAACTACGAAAAGTTAGAGAATTCTATCATAACATTTCAGATTTTTGGCTTATTTGATTAACATTCTAACACGTCTGGGCAATTTTCATCATTAGTAATTAAAAGTACTTTCACTTTTCCTATCGCAAAGCCTGATTTCTAGTGTGTTCTTTGATGTTAAATTTCAGTTAACACCATATTTTGTTCAGTTATTGTCTATACTTACCATTATTCTGAATATTTATTCAGTAACAACAGATGTCCACTAGTAAATATATGAATGGGATTTAAAATGAATTTCTTTCACATGATGAAAAGAGCCATTGATATCTTATCTGGGATGATAACAACAAGCTGCTCTCAACGAATGTCAATGAGGCCATCAGAAAACTACTTTTTTTTCCATCACAATAAGAACCAGCAATCAAAATCTGAGAATGTGCTACCTACAGATTGTAGTTAAAGTCTCTTCTTGGCATTATAGTATTGAATACAAAAGTACAGCTCCTGTGGGATTTTCAAATAGCCAATATTTCTGATATTTGTGTACCCACACATCACTGACCATTGACATATTCAAATAATTACATTTGTATGACAGAATCCCAAGGCTTTAAAATATTTGGATTTACCCCTTTGGGTGGAAAACAAATAAAAAGTATTGAACACTGTATTAAGAAATTGTATCACTGAATCTTTCTGCATCTTTTATTGGCTATTGGCTAAATTATAGTGATCCTTCTTTGTGTCTTAATATATACACTTTAGTTTTCAGAAGGTAGGACTACATATACATAAAACTGAACTTATTTATCAGGAAAAAGTAATTCTAAAAGATACAGGGAAATTACTTGAGACTTAAAATAATTGTGTTAGTGATGTCATTGCTAAAGGTTCAATATTTCCCATAGTAGTTCAGTAATAGAATTGTGAAGGTGTTTGGAGTATTTTATAACATCTTCAGTCCCATTGCTTCTTACTGGTATTTACTCCAAAGTTTTTATTTCCTAAGAAGCAGTTTTTTCATATTATTATCCTAAAGCTTTAAACTGCAGTGTAGAGAGAATGAACTAAAATGATCATGCTCACGTTCTCTTGTGAAAAAACTCAACATAAATGCCTAATATTTTTTCTCAGCTTAGAGAATCCAAACATGTTGAATGGGAGTGATACCACAGAAGAAAAAGCTTTAGCCTGTTCCTTATGGTTTTGTTTCTCTAAGCCTTCCTTTATTGCCTACTAACCAGAAAAATACTGTGTATTCAATGGCATGTCAGCATCTCTCCAGGACTGGTGTAACTGCCTTAAAAGAAGCAGTACTAATTCCTTCTGTTCCTTAGTTTAATACATGGGATTTGTTAAAATAAGTAAACAGATGCCAACCTTTTTTACTTGAAGTCACTCAGTTAGTTTAAAACCCCATTCCAGCATGCATCATCTCATTACCAGATATGTGCTAGATTGCCTTTTAACTGTTTTAACCCATGGTAAAATCCAGTAGTAAGTTTTATTCTGGAAGTTGTTTTCATTTTTCACCTCAGTAATATAACCTAAACCAAAAAAGAAAATGTAGTTCTAGCATTTCTATTAGTTAAATTAATTGGGTTTCAGCCACACACATATTCTCTTAAACTAGAATATTCAGTGCCCAAATATCCTCAAAAGATCTAATAGGGTATGTAAAACTTTTAAATTCAGAAATAGTCTTCTGATAGTCACTAATCTACTGCTTTAAGAGAAATGATTATCTTGTTTGGGGTAATTTCATACTAGCTGGAGTATACACTACTTAAAACCAAATTTACGTCACTAATATTTGAACATAACCCATTTTCTTTTACCTTGCCTTGTTATGGAAGGATGTAAGATTATTTGAATGAATTAGAACAAAATTCATTTTTATAAATGTACACTGTTAAAGAACAACAGATGTTTTATAGATGATTTTAATGCACATGGTTTATATGTCCCCTCCAACAGGCAGACCTCTTTGTCCTATAAAAGGAGTGCCACATAGACACATCTTTTAATGCCTCAGAATAACACCATTAACCCTTGTAAATGAATAAATGCCCTTCTTAAGAGAGATAGTGTATTGAGTAGCTACTTCTCCAAATTATGCCAAATTAAAATGATGGGTTAAATGTCAATTCAATTAATTTGGTGATTTCTTATATAATTCTAGACTAATGGAGAATATAAATTATTCTCTCTTAAATTCTAATTAATCTATTACACATTATAGATATGACCCATTTATGCATATTACTTAGGCTGAACTCTGGAAACCAGGAGCCTGGGGTTGGATTCTTGTTTAAGGGTTTTTAAAGAACTTGAGGTAATGAGTAGGGGATACTAGTCTTTGTGAAAATGATATTATAGAGCAGTATGAGGATGCAAACTAATATACAACTAGACTTTTATTTTTACTATAGTAGAATGACTTTAAAGTTTTCTATTTAAAATTAAAGCTTAGTTCCAAAGCAAAAAGGTAAAGATATTATCAAATCCTTATTTTAAAATCAGAATTTAAAGGGAATTCTTATATATTTAGTCTCTTCCAAATTCTTTGAAAATAGAAGGTAATATTAGTAAATCATTGATATGTACATTTTCTACTTTTAAAAGGTTTTACAATTTTAGTGCCTCCCGCCAATAATATTAGAGTCAATACAACCAATATTAGCAGGTATTTGAACAAAGAAACTGTGAATAGTGATTTTCTTTAAGCCATGTGGGTGCCCTTCTTGCGGATGCATATTTCACCATACTTCTCCTCTTTACAGATTTAAGACTTTAAAAATACTTTTGGTACCCTGACTTCAAAACACAATACTTTTTCAGGCAGTAAACTCCAATACCTGTTGTTCAATAACTATTGGAGTTGTATTTTCACTGTCAAGTACAAATCTTTCAGATTCACCCTGAAAGTTAGGAATTTAAGTTAAGCTGGTTTTAAGAGTAAAATTGTCTTTTTTGAAAAGCACTCAAATAAATCTTTAAAGTCAAAAGCAAAATATCCTTCTATAAAATACCGCATCTGGGTACCAAAACAGAAATTATATACATGAGCTCATAAGATTTAGTCATGTCGAGGACTGTATTTAAACATTCTAGCCATAGAACTATATTAATTTCAGTGGCTGTTTACTAAAACAAGGGGAATAATTGTATAAAAGATATACAGCTCCTGGTAAGCTTGACAGTTTCCAAAAAAAAAAAAAAAGCATTTATACATTTTGCTGGAGGAAGGTTTTGATGTTATCTTTACTTAAAATGTGTTTAACATACATAATAAAACATGGACAGTGTACTTATTAATAGAGTATCATGTAGTGTTTTGATACATGTGGACATTGCTGATGCTTAAATCTGATTAGCACAAGTATTTCCTCAAACACTTGTCTATTCTTTTTGGTGCAAACTTGGAATGTCGTCTTGCTTTTAGAAATTTACAGTCCATTAGTGTTCTCTAGTAATCCTGCTGAAGAGCAAAGTTTGAATTCATCCTGTTTCTCTTCCACATTTCCCTCATTTACTACAACGGCACTTATATTTTTCTCAGTGGCAGGATAGAAAAATTAAAACTAGGGGTTATGTTTTAGTATTTATTTTTACAAAAGATTAATTTCTAGTAAGGAGGGTATCTGGAACTGTTAATTTCATGAGATTGGTATTATAGATGTTCAATTCTAGAAAAGTAACTTCCTTGTGTGCAGTGTAGAGAACCCAAATTTAGGCTCTCTGGTTTTCAATATTTTTCATGCCTAGGGCATGTTAACAATCTTAAATCAGAGGCTATGATTCTGGGAATAAATGTTAACTTTTTGATTCTTGAAGAATCCTTGAATTCTAGACAATAGACAAAGATATCACTGGACTTTTTCTGTCATTTAATGTCCAGATGGGTATAATTTATAAGCTAACTGCTTTTTTAGTAGGACGCATTTAGAGCCATTGTGCACAATGTTTTGTGATCTTGACCTCTTCTGCAGAATTTTTAAGTAGTTGCATTAAAATTAATAGTCAAAACACTAAAAGTTTACGATCAAAAGGCACTATCTAGAAGCATAAGACTACAAATTACATAAAAATTTCTATAGCACATTACATTAAAGGATAATTATAGGCAATTTGCATTCATAAATTATATCGCAATATCACATTCAATGAATAATTTGTTTCAGTTCATATTACGTATTTCATTCAGTAAGCTAACTATCCCAATAAGATTAGAAATAACCCATTTCATTATCTGAAATTTTCTCATATCAACCCACTGCTGTTAGAGAATGTTGTCTTCTGGCTATATTTGTCATTTAAAGGTGACTGGAAATCTGACTTCCTCTTTAAATTAAGACCTCCTGCTATGTTAAAGCAGGTCGCATATACCTTGAATACTACTGCCACCTCACATCTACACACTGCCATTAGATTTAACTAAAGAGTGTTCTCTTTGGCAGCTTGTGACTTGTTAAACTTCACGTAGCCCTGTTTAGATGGCATGAACTGAATGTCAGTAACTTTTCCTTCTGGTTCAAAAAGCATTAGCAAGTACAAAACATTTTTCTTTAAAGCCCTTCTTGATGTTAAGAGAATGTCTTAGCCTGCAAAACAAAGAAAGGCAAATGCTCAGATAATCCAGGCCATAAACATGTCAACAAATAATGAATGGTGAAAGATTAATCTGTGTTACTTTCTTATTCAGGATCCAAAATGACTACTGAATACAATAAAAATCTTACAATATAATTTCAGTATATTCATCTGATAAGAACTAAAGTTATCATCTCACTTCAAAGCTAGGCAAACTGTATCCATTAGTATGCCTGTACAAGATATGTTTCAGCATTCAGTTGACTTAAACCTAATCGTTTAACATGAAAGAAAATGTCAGTGACACAAACAATGGTCAGACTGGGAAAAGAAATACAAACATTTAACTGCAGTTGCGCAGCTCCACATGAAGTTGGTTGCTAATAGTATTCTTTACTATATCAAGAAGAATGATCTTTTAAACACTGAATTGTTTGTGTTTTGTTTTAGAAAAGCGGGCAATATAAGTATAGCTTTATAATGCTTAAGGTGCCTTTTCTATTTTTATATTTCATATCACTACTTTTAGTCTTTAGTGCAAACATTTTGAAGTGCTGTAATAACTTACCATAATTCTGTAAATAAAATTTTTGGGACTATTTTAGGAGTGGTATATTTAAAGAGATGTCTGAAATGTCCAAAGTTTGTTGAATCGTACATATTTGCTTTAATGTTTAATATAATGTTAATAATGTTTAAATAAGAATAGTTTTTACATTGTTATACAATTTGAAGCCTTGTATTACTTTTTTGGAAAATGTATTTTGTTGTTTGACAAAAATAATATATGAAGAGTGAAGTATCTTTTGTGGAAACTATTTTTGATTCTGATAATAGTATAAATGTATGTTTTGCTGTTCACGATATAGCTCTTATACTTGTATCATTTGCTTTGTGTGTTTGTAAAGTTGGTGGAAATTTTAGTGAAGATATTGTTATTAGACCAAAATAAGTTTTGAAATAAAATGACCATGGAACATGCAGCAGGTCATCAGCTGCAAAATGGGTAAATGCCTATTATTTCAAACGCAACAACATCTTTTTAAAAGAACTACCTGGAGATTTTTCCATAGGGTTTGTATAGAATCCCAGCTTTCATTAAAGATGGCAAATATAGAACATAAGAAGCTACTGGCCTTAAGTATATTATAGCTTTGTATCAGGAACTACATTCATCATTTATGACAAATTAACTGATTAACACTATCCAATACAAAATACTATCCACAAAACCTAAGTACATAAATCGTTTGTATTCATTTACTTCCCTTAGCATCACTTGACTGTTTCATTGGTAAACCTTATTTACTATCTTCTCCCATTCAAATTAATTACCTATAATTGACAGAAAATGAAATTAAATACCAGAATCATTTAGAGAAATGGGCCACACTAATATAAGAGATACTGAATCTGTACCCCTACACACATACATCATACCTTTAGCAGAACGTGGTATTTTGGATAAGTGACTAAAGAATGAAAAATGGTTTTGAATATAGCCATCATTAAAATAATGAAAACTGGTAAAAAAAAAATAGTAATGTGAATAAGGGAAAAAACAGCTGTACCATAAATCTGGTGCCAGGGAAACTCCCAGGAATCCACAAGGATGACCCCAGCTAAGACTGCTAGCAATAGTGGAGAGGGTGCCTGAACTGGCCTTCCCCTGTAATCAGATTGGTGACTATCCTAATTGTTATCATAGAACCTTCATCCAGTAACTGATGGAAGCAGATACAGTGATCCACAGGCAAGCACTGGGCCAAACTCTGGGAGTCCTGTTGAAGAGACAGAGAAAGGGGGATCAAGGTCATGATGGGAATCTACAGAGACAGCTGACCTCATCCTGAGGGAGCTCAGGGACTCTGAACCAACAGCTAGGGAGCCTGCATAGGGTTGACCTCTGCATATGTGACAGTTATGTAGCTTGGTCTGTTTGTGGGGCTTCTATCAGTGGGATCAGGACCTGTCCCTGGCACTTGAGCTGACTTTTGGAAACTCAATCCCCAAGCTGGGTTGCCTTGCCCAACCTTGATGCAGGGGGGTGGGGAGCTTTGTCCTGCCTCAACCTGATGTGCCCTACTGTGTTGACTCCCATGAGAGGCCTGCCCCTTTCTGAATGGAGACAGAGGATGAGTGGATGGGGTGTAAAATGGAGGTGGGCAGGAGGGAATGGGAAGAGAGGAGGGAGGGGAAACTGTGGTTGGTATGTAAAATAAACAAAAACTTAATAAAGAAAAAAAAGTCACTCACTGTAGTTTGCTTGAGGTTTAAGTAGGCACAGCAACTGTTTAGCCACTTTCTAGCGGTTTAAATTATGGCTAAAAAGAAGCAGTAAATAACTTTAAGGAAAATAGAGTGTTTTCTCTTCATAATGTAAATTACTAGGTGACTAAGTTTTCAAATCAATAGATGATTGTAAGAAAAAGGCAAAATGACTCATTTTTAAATCTTTTAATATACAAGGATAAGTTCTGACTTACGTAATCCCTAAAATATGGCAAGAATCCTAGTTTCCATACTTACAAAAATAGACCTCTTTAATAGTAAAATAGACCATTTTTAAATTTTAAATGGTCATTTAAAAATAGACCATTTAGTAATAAATGGATATACAGAAATTCTAATATATTCCTAATATTTTGGTTCTATAATATTTTGCTGATGACCTTCTACTTAAATCATGCCTGGTATATAAAAATGTATCATATTTATATATTTCATCAAACAGAGTATCACTGTTTCATTATTTAGCATTAATAGAAGTCAGATTCATCAACTTTTGAAACCTGACAATAGTGCCGTTAAATAATTTACATAAAATCTAATTTCTCATTATACTAAATAACTGCTATGCTTGGATTCTTTCTACATTATTTACAACATTTAAATAAAAGCACACACATGTATATTATGTAATATATACATGTATATATACATATATGCATTTGTAAGCATACATGTAAATATTCAGATACATTGTCATACCTCACCAAGTAAATTGGTTTCTTAGCAAGATTATGTAAAATTATCTAGTATATGATTGAAGGTTGTCTTTTGTTTTATATTAAAATTTAAATAGATTTCAGGCATTTTAAAAAGTTACCAGTAAAGTTATATGTAAAGTCATAAAATTATTAAGAGTTAGTGCAATATTTCTAATCATTCCTAATATTAGATACTATTAAACATACATGTATGCCTTTCTGGTTGCTTTATTATAGCTCTTTAACCTGTATCATTGTACAATCTTCATCTCTGAACTCTTAATTAGTTTCTATTGAAACAGCAAAACACCAAATTTATAATTTCAATGACATGAACAAAATGGAAAGCCTAACCTTCTTTAGATTATACGTATATCAGTGAAATGGATCCCACACTTCTTTCAGCTCTGTGGTATTAACTTATTACTCCAACATCAGCTCTTATAAGGATACATAAATATGGCAGGTATAATAAATACATTCATGGACAAAATCATTTTTCCAATTTCAAAGACTGAATACAGATAAATATTTGAAAAATGACTTATCTTAAAGTCAAAATGTTTTAATAAAACCACTTTTCTGGACACTATGATAGAGGTAACAGTGGCCAAACTGACAATTTTAATTAGCATTATAGAAAATTTAAAAGAAAATGAGAGAAATTTGTGTTTTTTTTTAAAGAAGCAAAATAATTTAATATAGTCATATAACTGATAATTCAGTTACATAGTGAACATTTCTTCAGGTTTTTTTTTTCTTCTCAGATCTTTGTTCAATATTACCATGTTTTCACTAATGGATTTTTTTTGTAATATAATTTTTTGTTGAAAAAAAATTTCCGCCTCCTCCCCGCCTCCCATTTCCCTCCCCCCTCCCCTTTT